ATGTCAGACTTCTGTTTGTGGATTTGTCCTAGACTCTAACGGGACACGTGTCAGACTTCTGTTTGTGGATTTGTCCTCAGCCTTTAATACAATCCAGCCTCACATACTAATCGAGAGACTTGTTGAACACTTTCCTCTGGGTAACGATGTGATGGGCTGGATCTTGGATTCTTTAAGTAACAGGACACAGAGAGTAACAGTGAATAACTGTCTCTCTGATTTTAAGCACTCTTCCACCGGGTCACCTCAAGGATGTGTACCGTCACCCCTGCTTTTTTATTTTATACACAAACATGTGTCAGAGCAGACATGACAGCAGGTTCATTATAAAGTACGCAGGTGATTCTGTTATTGTCAGTCTGCTTAAAGGAAATGAAAGTGGCCATGGGCAGGTGACTGAAGACTTTGTTCAATGGTGCGAGGACTCTTTCCTCAAACTAAATATCGATAAGACAAAAGATATGATCATTGATTTTAGGAGGAAACCTCACAAGCACGACGTCACTTTAATCAAAAGCCGAGCTATTGAGAGAGTGCAGTCTAACTAACATTTAATACATTTTGATACTAGTTGGATTTTAAAGTTTTACTCTCCTCTTTTATGTCCTACTTTGCTTTGAATATGATTGTGGAGCCTGGAGCACCATTATCTGTAAATGGTTTATTTGAGGTGTTCTTACTTTTAACATTGTGTGTTATATTATATATTATTCTCTGTACCACTGCAAACCAAATCTTCCCTTGGGTATAAATAAAGTAACCTAAACTAATTATGACTTAAATAATGAAAAAACAACATTCAGAGTCTCAGACGATGAGAACATTCCACAGCCAGATGTTGTGCAGTGTGAGCAGGAGATCAGCATCTCCATGAAGCTCGTCGGCAGAAGGAAGCATGAAGTCTCTAAAACGTCCTGCTAGATGCTGCATGGACTGGACTTCAGAAAACACAGTGGACCAAAACCAGCAGAGGACATGGACCCAAACCATCACTGACTGTGGAAACTTCACTCTGGATTTCAACTACCGTATTTTCTGCCGTACACGCTGCACCGCCCTAAAAGTCTCATCAGTTCAAATATGTCTAATAAAGTGGAAAAATGTGTCACTTGGGCGTATAAGTCGTAGGACATGTGAATTATGCAACAAGCTGCGACTTATATGACAAAAAATATGGTACGTGGATTCTGGACCTCTGCACTCCTCCAGACTATAAATATGCAAAATTTACTTTAACTGAAAAGAGGACATTGGACCACTGAGCAACGGTCCAGTTCTTTATATCCTCAGCAGGTAAGACGCTTCTGATCAGGTCTCTCTTGTAAATGAGTCCTCGAGGCTCAATGGGACTAACCTGTGTAAATAAAGGCTGAATGAATGATGGTGTCTCTTGGTTCAGGAGTGGCTGGACTCGAGGAATGAGACATTTGTAGCTCATGTCTGGACTTAATCAGCTGATTCGGATGTGAGCAGGATACCGAACCTATTCACGATATTCTAATTTTCTTTTGCTTTTTCGTTATTTGTACTTATAATAATTAAAAAACAAGAAATAAAGTCTTGAAATGTTTCACTCTGCGTAATGAATCTTTGTAATTTATGAGTTTCACTTTCTGAAGTGACTGACAGAAATATTAAACATGTAAATAAAACCAACACAGACAGAAAATAACCCTGAAGTTCAAAGTGACTCGTTTGGTTCTTCATTACTGGTCCCCAACCGAACCGAGTCTACCGGACTAACAGCTGCTCTGACGTCACTGAAGTAGTTCCCAGGTAGAAACATCTGCATTGAAAGACGCAGGTTCTGCAGGGACATCGTCAGCCATGTTTTTTTTCTTTCCTTTCTGTTTGGCTCTCGTGGGGGCGGGGGGGCGGTGCCTGAGTCCCGCGGACCACAGGGGGTTATCGGACAGCAACACCTGCGGCAAGAAGCAGGGACGTCCCGGACAGGGAGACAGCCGAGGACGGAGTTCTGTCGCCTACTGTCTGCTGCCGCCTCTCCCGCCCCTCCCCCTCGACGGGAGAACGCAGCTACCAAAACGAACGCCCCGCGCCGCTGTGTGTGTTGTTTACCTGCATGCTAACTGCGGCGGGCGAGCGCGTGCCTCTTTCTGTCTTACCGTGAAGATTATTTTCAAAGAACGGAGGTCCGAGCGGACCGGGACGGAGTTCCTGGCCTCCTGCCGAGATCCACAGAGCCCGTTTCCACTTCACAGGAACCAGAGACACTTCACGGCCATCTCTCCCACAAATGCTAAGCTACAAGTGACAGACGGCTAAACATCCGGTTCAGCGTTTCACAGTAAAAGACCTGCCGCCGCAGCTCAAGTGGATCAAACCTGCAAATATTTCATCACATTCTGATGCATGCTCAATAATCCAGGTAGAAAAATCTAAAAAAGTTCAATCTGGTCCTCTGCACATTCAAGAAAACAACCAAAAAAAAAATGTAGAAATGTTCCGTCTTTCATCCGAAAGACTTCCTCAATCTGAGGTGCTGTGTTCAGCTCAGTCTTATAAATGTATGTATGTTTTATTTATTCATTTCATTTCATCCAAACAACAAATATAATACAATTTAAAGAAAAGAAAAAAGATATACAATCACAGAAATAAAATGAAAGGCAGCAGAAGAAGAATGAATTCGTATAATATCTGCCCCTTGTCCCCAAAATATATTCCAAACAAAATTACTATACAAAAGCAAGATGAATTAATAAAAAAATAAAAAGATAAAAAATAATCAAAAAAAAAAAACTTAGCTAAAATATAAGATCAACTGTAAACAATTTTTATGAACTCACATTATACTTAATATTTTTTTTAAAAAACAAATTTTTATCATCCTCTTGAATATGTACATAGTTTTGGCTTTTTTAATATCAACCTCCAGATCATTCCACAATCTAATACCCTGAGATATAGTGGATCGCATCTTCAGACTGGTGCGACACAAAATAGCACCTTCTCAGAGTGGATCAACCAGTTTTGCTGCTGACAACCAGAACCAGCTGCTCACATGCTCAAGAAGGACCATCAGCCTAACAATGGATCATTAGCACCTGATGGCTGTTTACTATTCACATAGTATCACTCAACCCCCCGTCTCTTGCTCAAATATTTTATTTTATTAGAATAATTATCTGAAATATTTACAAATCATCAGTAAACTTGGTAAAACTATCAGGTCTCTTTTGTAAATGAGTCCTGGAGGCTCAATGGGATTTACCTGTCTAAATAAAAGTTGAATGAAAAACATGATGCTTTTGTTTTGTAACGTTACTCGCCTCACTTCCAGGTTTACTTCCGCAAACTTGACGCTCCACCCTCCCTCCCCGCCCCTCCCTCGCCTTGCTGTGCGACTGAGAGGAGATGGAGCAGGCCGGACTTGCGCATTACGCTGTTTTTCCTTGTTGAATAGTTGAATGCGACAGTAGAGACAGACAAAGAGACCCTAATGTCAAATCACGTACAAATGTTTCAAACCCAAAGTTCGGACATTTATGCCGTTTTTGAAATGGAAACATGTTTTGTTTTTGTTCTGCCCCAGGCTCTGCTGCAATGTCACTTACAGGAGTTCATCACTTTGTTTGCTGACCGAACAGAATTCATATGAAATGTCTGTTTCTCGTCTATTAAACACAGATTTATTAAATAACATTTGCAGTGTGGTGGTTATTTTACAGCCTTATGGGAACAATATTTGACACCAGAAGGTTGGGTCTGATTTAATGTTTTCAGGGCTGCACAATGTATCAGTAAATCTTTGTCATTGCAAAATAGCATGTAGGACATAAGGTAAAAACAGTCTGAGCTCAGACACAGTGCAAGTCAAGGAGAGTGGCCTCTTTGACCTCTGAGGTGACGAGAGAAAACCATCAGCCCTGCAGTGTGAGAGACACGCTGGGCGACAGAAGACAGAATTACCTATAGTGTGTTTTTATGTATAAACCGTAAAACAAATGAGGAAAGACTGGAAATAAAATGATTTTGTCTGCAAATGTTTTGCAATGTTAGTTAAACATTTTGTGATAAAATCCAAACCCTTGACGAGAACAAAACTCAAGTTCTGTCGTGTAAATCCAACTTTTTGTGGCCCGTTTTAATTCTGAGCCAAGTCCGTCGGAGCTGTAGAGCTTTTACTGTTCGTTTCAACAGCTCATTGTTTTCAATGGGAAACTGAGCAATTGTTTGCTAATTTCATTCATGTCATTCAGTGTACAATACTGTGTACAATACTGTGTACAATACTGTGTACAATACTGTGTACAATACTGTGTACAATACTGCTAAAAGTCTCAGCGCAGTGTTCCGAAACAAGACGCACATTTTAATTGTTGACTTTTCCAAAGTTTGTCTCTATGTGTCCCTGTGATGGACTTGTGACATGTCCAGGGTGTCCCCCGCCCCTCGCACATTGATGATGGACATGGGCACCGGCGACCCCCGTGACCCATAATGGAAGAAGCGGGTAAAAGATAATGGATGGATGGACTTTTCCAAAACTACAGGCTACTACTAGGGATGCACGATAGTATCGGCATGGTATCGGCTGATATTAGTGTTAAAGTTCATATCGGCCATTCCGTCAAAATAACTCAGCGATATAAAAGGTGCTGCTTTGTATGAGAACCCAGTGCCAAGGATGCAGTGAGGGGCAGCACAACGTGATGACATCACACATGCCTGATCTGATCACGGCGGAGAGGAAGAAGTCAAAATGTCGGCGGTGTGGAAGTTTTATTTTGGTGAGGATGTCAGATTCTGAAGATTCATGGACTACGATGAGCCTCGCTACATCGTCCCCAGTCTGAGACATTTTTCCGACGTAACATTACCCGAGTTACAAGCCGTCATTTCCGACGTCATTGAGAAGCTAATAGCTGACAGCACTTGGGTGAGTTTTACCACAGACATTTGGACGTCGTGTTAGCCCCGTTAGCATGATTAGTCTTACAGCTCAATGGATAGACAAAAACTTATAAAGTCTGTCCTTCATGCACAGGAGTGCAGAGGATCCACACTGCAGCTATAGGAACCTGGAACAAACCTCCACAAGTGAGACAGCATCGCAGGTGACTAATGCTAATAAATAACATTGAACACTTTTAATTTAAAATAAGTTAAAGTGCTATGCATATCATATGGCTGCTACTGAATATATGTCACCAGCTGTTGCGCAATTTTTGTAGCAAATAAGCCTAAATAAGAGGAATATGTTCTGACAAAAGAACGTATATAAAATATCAGTATCGATTATTGGCCAAACAAGTTTTAATATATTGCCATATCGGATATCGGCCAAAAATCCAATACCGCGCATCCCTAGCTACCACTACTTGTGAATAAAAAAATCTTTGACATTTCTGCATTCAGATAAAAGAAACCCAAAATGACAAGAACAAAACATCTCAAAGTTTTGATTTACTCAACAGTAAAAGGTTCATTGAAAACAATCCTTGCACGTGTACACTGACGTTGTTCTCCTTTAGCACAGCAAACCATCTTCCTGTTTGCACCTGAAATAATTCATGAACTCATGTTCTTTACTAACATCATAGATCAATGGATATAAAGTCATTTTTCATCAAAACATTAGGCAAAATGTTTTTCTTTCTTACTTCTTGAAATTTTCAATTTGCCTTACCTAATTTAATAAAAGTACCCATAAATATTTATGAAAACAAAATTTTTCTATCCAACATTTGTGTTTGGCCAGTCGGCAGTTGTTTAAACTTTTTTATATTTTTTACTTTTATCACTTCAAATTCACTAGAAAGAGCCACCACTTCACATTTATTATTACATTCTAGGATAAAGATGTATTTTTAAAGTTTTGGTCTTTTCCCCATTTACAACAAAATTTAATAAAAGTAGCACCAATTTGTCTTTACAGGCATTTTTAAATACACACTCATGCTTTAATAAAAGTATAAGAGCAGGTCTGTTGGACCCACTGGGTCTGGTTTTTCACATCCCTTTAAACTGCTGCATGATGGACAGGAGGTGTTCGCTCCGTTTCTGGATGCTGATCTGCTCCTCCTTCAGCCTCTCCTGTTCCTGCAACACCTCCTCCTATGAA